TTTAGACCATTGGAAGCATTACCTGCTTGGGAGGCATTTCAAAGTGTATTCAGACCACGAGACCCTTAGATGGTTGAAGACCCATGCCAAGATGACACCTAAGCTAACTAGGTGGGCCGCAGAGATAGACCAATATGACTTTGAGCTTAAGCCAGTGAAGGGCAAGTACAACGTAGTTGCGAACGCTCTGAGTAGGAGATCAGACTACTCTGGGGCCATAGTACACTACCTGGATATAGGGAGAGACCTGCAAGAGAAAGTGAAGCAAGCGTATGCGCAAGACCGTATCTATAGCGACCTCCTAAAGAGAGGCCCCAGAGATTGTGCCAGATTACCGCACTACAGACGGGTTGCTGTTTGAGAAGACTAACGTATTTGACCGCCTATGCGTTCCCAACAACGAAGAGATATGTAGTCTGATCCTAGGGGAAAGCCACGATACTGAGGGACATTTCGGTTGGCAAAAGACTTTAGCCAACCTGATGCGTGCTTACACCTGGCCAAAGTATGCCAGCGTAATAAGACCACTACACGCGCGCCCCTAGGTCTTCTCAGACCCTTGCCTATTCCGGATCAGCCGGGAGACTCAGTGTCCATAGACTTCATGGACACCCAAGTCAAGAGTAGAAGAGCCAAGTCATGGTCATAGTTGACCGCTTTAGTAAGTACGCAGTTTTTGTTCCTTTGCCTGCAAAGGCACGCACAGACTTAGTTATACAAAAGTTCTTTGACTTTTGGGTTAGTGAGAATGGAATCCCATTGTCAATAGTTAGCGATAGAGAAGTTCTTTGACTTTTGGGTTAGTGAGAATGGAATCCCATTGTCAATAGTTAGCGATAGAGACAGTCGTTTCACCAGCCAGAACTGGCAAGAACTCATGCGAGTCTACGGATCTAAGCTATTGATGTCGTCTGGCCGCCATCCAGAGACCAACGGTCAGACAAAACAGATGAATAAGATCCTACAACAAGTTCTGCGCATGTACATTAGACCAGACCAGATCAACTGGGATGAGATGTTGCCTAAGGTAGCTAGTGCATACAACAACTGCTTGCATCTATCCACCTGCCGCACTCCCAATGAGCTGCACAAGTCCTTTAGACCACGCAGACCGTTCGAAGGACTGAACCGGGATCAGATGCACAGACTACCACTCGGTACCAGGGAGTTTGCGATACTGCACGAGAAAGAATTAGCAACTGTTGTTGAGAACCTCCGGAAGGCCCAACATAGGATGATAGAACAAGCTAACAAGCTTCGCCGCCCATCACAGTTTAAAGTAGGCGACTTAGTCTGGGTCAAGGCAAAAGAGTTTGCACCTTAAGAAAACATCTCGCAGAAGTTACTGCCTGCATATAGAGGACCGTGGCCGGTTCTAGAAGTCAAGGGCGGAGAGGATGGACCGTCCTACACTATAGAGATCGCAGTACACCTCCACACATATCCTGTGTTCCACGCTTCAAAGTTGTTGCCGTGTGTCACAAGCCAACAATTTCCTTCAAGACGATCTATGATCCCTCCGGATATGGACGAAAGTTATGACATTGAAGGTATTGTAGACGAGGATGTGTTTAGAACAGGAGGTAGAGGTCATCCACAAAAACAATATAAGGTCCGGTTTGCTTATCAGGAACCGGAAGACGACCGCTGGTTTACAAGAACAGATTTTCTAGAGACAGCTCCCGACATAGTTAAGGCCCACGAGCACGATAAGAAGGGTAAAGGTCCTGCCTTGGACTGAAATATTCTCGGAGGACCTCGAATTTAGGACGGCGGGAGTGAAACGGTTTTCATCTTTTAGCAGTAGCAGATGCAGTACCCAGGGCTCGATCCCTAGACCTCATCCTACCCATGTACAGTATCGGTGTAGACCCCGAGAGTTGAACCTGTGACCTGTGTATTCGTAGACAGATGAGCCCATAAGCAGCAGGGGTTTGATCTGTAGGTCTATAGGATAGAAGTCTTAGCAAGTTCCAGAAGTCTAGCTGTAGTCCTCCTAGAAGGTCGGCAAGTGGGCAAGTGGTCAAGTGGCGAGGCAAGTGGTGGACTAAACTGCAGTGCAATCGCAGTACGACCTCGGTAGGATAGCAGTGAGTCCACAATCAGTCAGCGGTAAGGTCCAGTCAGTCCCAGTCCGGTCCAGCAAGTACCACGGGGGACTGTGAGCACCATGGGCCGATGGCAAAGGGCAGACCAGCGAGTTTCCGAAGTATAAATCAAGAGGCAGGCCCAACCTTTCAGGCATTCCTGCGTGAGCCATGCGAAAGCGCTGTCGCAATGACTTGTCCAAGGAGGTCTGCAGTGAGCCAGAGTGAAGGAGCTTAGTATAGCGATAGGGTAGAGGCAGCCATAGTTGTAGTTAGTGTGAAGTGTGTGTGTGTATGTGCGAGTGTTCAAAGTTACGTGTGTGGGATATCCAGGGTGATCCAGTATGTGTGAACAGTGAGTTGTTTGGGCGCAGAGTCGCCATAGCCAGTTGAAAGTGAACTCGTATCTGGAAGCCATATCTCTGAGTTTCGAGTGGGCGCATGTCGCCAGTTTGCTGCGCTGCTGTTTACATGCATGAAAAGTGTGAATGAGACCGAGCCTGATTGCAAAGGGGAGGAACTGTCAAAATTGCGGCACGGCGAAAAATTTTTTTTTGGTGCAACGAGGGAGATGTTGTCCGACACGAAGGTTGTTTTGGGTGGTGTTTTGGGTGGTAAAACGTGGTGGCCGCCTGTAGTGCGGCATGGGACGACATTGCCGTTTTATTCTTGAATGGTGTACGTGTGGCCGCGACCATTTGCGTAAGCCAAGGTGGTTCAGTGGGGTGTTGTCGGACGTTCATTGGGCCAAGCTTGTACCTGGGCCCTGCATTGCCATTTTGAAGAGCTGGTTTGGTCAGCGGCAGGCGGCAGCGCACAAGGTTTATTGTTTTGGAGTGAGACATCGGCCCGCGGTGCGCTGCGACACAAGTTAATTTTTGTGGAGAGCATTTTGGAGCCGAGGTTGTACTTGCACAAGATCTATATTTTTCTACTTGGCTTTCTTGAGTGAGCTAGAGCGTTTCAGCATCGTCAATCACTCAAGGTCAGTTGAATAACTCGGACTCCCTTTCACCACAGTGTGAACCCACACCTTGCTTGACACTTTTTGTTTTGAACGTTCAAAAGAAAAGAGTAGAGGAAAGAGTATGTGAGTCATGCATGTGAAAGGTGAGGTCTGACTTGGGTATGGGTTTCCATTGGTTTGTTTTGAATTCGTTTTGTTTGCGTTGAGTGCAGGTAGGCAGAAGGATGCTAGCAGAGGCGATTGATGATGCCTATTTAAGATGAAGAAAAATATTGTCCTCTTTCTACCTTTCACCTGCGTGCATGTCAAAATCACTTCGATTTTGAAGTGGAGAAATTCAACGGGTACCTTGAAAGAATCTCGTGAATATAATGAAAATGAAGTCAATATGACTTAGCATTTCCCTGAGGTTTACCCTTTCTATCCTGAATGACCTCATCTTCCTATATCTGTCCAAATGATTCCCGTTCTCTATCTCTTTTGAATCTTTTCATCTAAGTTGCCTTGAGAACAACTAAAATCTACTCGTGGTGGACATGTTCTCTCTCTCTATGAAGTATCTGGGGCGGGGGTGCGTTGCTATAGGAGCCGGCCCTGTTATCGACCTAGAGTTGACCGTTCTACGAAGGGGTACTTTGCCGATTCGATGGAGACGGCCCGGCTTCTGAGATCCGAGTCTTGTCCTCGGGTGAGGAGGAGTGCCCCTGACCACTTCCTAGAGGGTGGGACATGCAACACTTCAAATAATGCACCTGATCAAGAATCATCTGCAAAGCAGCCTGTCATCAAAGAACATAAAAATGTGTGAAGACGGGTGTGTGTGCCTAATCTTGGGTCGGCGGTAGGGTGGAATGGATGACTTTGGCAGCGCGTCTCATCAAGGTAAAATGGAGGCAATCAGACTACTTTGTCGCTGCATCAAGGTTATTGTCGAGCAGACCGACTGCCTTGTCGGCTACATCGAGGTTATTGTCGGGGCCAACTCCCTATTGACGGTTTAATAAAATACTTTATTTATCGAGTTTAACCCGAAGTGGTTGGTTTTGATTTTGTGTTACTGGCTCTATTTTTTGATGTTCGTGTATTCAATTATTGTTTCGACTCATGTTAGATTTAAATGTGTTTTCCTATCGACTAATGGTCAATTCGTTTCGGTATAAATATATTTGATCATGGTAATTGTTTTTTTGAGTTGTGTGTCTAAGGGACTAGGATTACTCATGGGTTTCACGCTTGGTTGAGACCGTCCTAGTCTATCGGCGTCCACTTCATACTTAGGAGATCATCGCCCCAAGGGACGAATGGCGTCCGGGTTCAGATGGATTTTTAACCACACGTGCCTATACAGCAACAAGCATATCCCCTCGGCTGACCTACCTCTGCAATTGCATTTAAAAGGTTTCACACGTGGGTCAGTAGCTTGGTAGGGATACGCCCCTAAACATGGTGACATCCCCTTAAGGAAGGTAAGCTGTGCCCTGCGGGAACCTATCCTGTCGTAGGGGATCGCGGGAAGTACGGTTGGGGCACCCAGCTAGAGCGGCGAAGGGACAACACGATCACGATCGTCTCGGCGTTTCGCGGGGTTATTTTGCGTTGTCTCCAAGTTGTCTCTTGTTTTGTTTTGTTTAACTCCTGTGTGACATGGCCGGGAGGGCTCCTGCAAAAGGTAGGAGTCGATGCACTCGACACCGTGACTAAATATGCACCCTTTATTTGAGTGTCACCTCACTTATGTAGCTGGTACTTTGGTGTGGGGATTCTGTTCTGATGATGTTCGGTGACTGGTGTATAAATGAAGTTTCCTTTTCACTCCCCCCCCCCTCCCTCCCTCCCGTTCCCCCGGAAACGAAGCAGTCAGTTAGCCACCAATGCTCTTGTGATGTGCATTTGTCCTTTTCTGTTTGTACTTCCTCCCCTCCCACCCATCTCCATCATCAATACAGGACCAGGTGCCGCCATTTGAGACTGAGCGTGCCATTCAGATTGTGGAAAGCGAGCTTGGCGGAAAGGTGGATGAGATCTTTGAGCAATTTGATAGCGAACCAATTGCTGCCGCCAGTTTAGGTCTGCTCCACATACTTCTCTCCCTTTCTTTCGCTTTTCTTGCTGATTGGAGTCCAGCACTACCATCTTTGCCTGAACGGAATGCTGGCTTCGTCATCTTTGCGTCTCCCTGGATGCAGTAATAATGAATGTGCGTGATTTCAAAGTTGGAGGAAATAACAGACTGGAGGTTTTTTAATTCTGTTTTTGTTGCAAAAATGAAATTTCAAAATGGAAAATAGAAGAAGGGAAAAGGAAAGACAAAAAGGGAATGCCTGCATTGTGGTCACTCTGAGTGATGTAAAATCGTGGAACCAAGTGGAAAACAAAGGGAATGATAGTATTATGATACAGTGTTTGGTCTGCGCATTTTGGAAACTCTCATTCAACCATCTTGGAAGAAATGGCATTAATCCTGGAGTTGGTTTCAGTGTGCGGCAAGTGCATATATATCCAGACATGTCAGTAAAGTCCCATGTGCCGGTTCCAATGTCCCAATGGTCTTAGTCCCATGTAGTATGTACTACAGCTGAACTGGCAGGCCCTGTGGCCGAAACGCTGACCTGTATGTAGGTCATTAGGAATCCGAAGTAGCTAGTTGTCAGTTAGACCGGTACCTGACAGGAAAAGTTCAAGTCCCAGTCTAATTTTAGCAGCAGCATCTGAGGAAGGCCCGAAGACTTTCGCAACCGGAACAGCTGTGGCCGACAGTTGGGAGACCGTTACCGGTATGGAGCCGAACAAAGATGTCAATTGGAGGTGCTACTTAAGCAGCTACAGTGCCTGAGCGACTCATTTGTTCATTGGCATGTTGTGGAAGCGCTGTTGAATGGTTGTGCACCTGTTTGATGCGATTGGTCGGGTGAACCGGCAGAGAGGGGAAGACACCAGCAGCAGTACAATGTCTATTTCCAGTACCAGGGACCTGAAGACGAAGATGGTACCCAAAGAATGAGCTGCGTGGCACGAGAGGGGTAGAAGAGGCATCAATATCGCAGATGGGTGAAAAAGACGATACCTTGCTCGGTGGACGTCGAAATTAGGCTGGCTGGAGTGAAAAGATTTGATGTGTCAACTAAGCCCCGTGTCCTAGTGCCAGTGTCCCCATGGTCCCTGTCCCATGCACTCTATAGCGGAACCGGCAGGCCCAGCGTCCGAAATGCCAATTCAGGTCCGTAGACCGTTAGGAGTCTGAATTCGCTAGGAGTCCGGTAGGTCTGGTACCCGACAGGAAAAGTCCAAACCCCAGTCTAATTTTAGCAGCAGTATCCAAGGAAGGCGCAGCAACTTCCCGAACCGGGACAGTTGCGGCCAAAAGTTGGGAGACTGCTACCGGTCTGGACCTAACAATGATGTCAGTTGTTGCTGCTACTTAAGCATCTAGAGTACCTGGGCGACTCACATGTTCATTGTTATATTGCGGAAGAGCTGGTGAACGCTTGTGCAACGTTTCAATGGGACTGGTTTGGCTATCTGGTGGACTAACCTGTGGTGCAGCGCCATAGCTAGGACAAGCACGGGAGGAGAGAGACAAGGGAACAGCTAGGGTGTGAGCACCACGTGGGGAGAGAGAGAGAGAGAGAGAGAGAGAGAGAGAGAGAGGGAGAGAGAGAGAGAGAGAGAGAGAGAGAGAGAGAGAGAGAGAGAGAGAGAGAGAGANGAGAGAGAGAGAGAGAGAGAGAGAGAGAGAGAGAGAGAGAGAGAGAGAGAGAGAGAGAGAGAGAGTATATGAGGGCTTGTCGGCCATAGGCGCTGAAACTTGTGTTCAGATACTGCAACAATTTTGAAATTTGGAGAAATATCCTCATTTCTGCTGATATTGTGTTGTTGTGTGAGTGGGATGCGAACTGTCGGGACTCGCATGGTTGCGATTTTGGAGTCAAATTGAGTTGGATCATTGCACTATTAGCTACTATATTGTTTCTTTTGTTTTTAATTGGAAAAAGGAGACGAAACTCCTGACAGAGGTGATGTGGTGAGACTATGCTGCTATTGTTTTACCCCCACATTCGCTCCTGTTGTTGGTAAGCTGTGATTTGACTTGATAACCCTAACACATGTCTATGCTGCTATGCTGTCATTCTTTGTCTGCACCAAAAGAAATTGGAAAAGCTCAAGCAAAAATTTGCCTCGTTTATTTGCATCGTGCTCCTCTAACCACCGATTTACGCCGGCAAGATGGTTCAAGTTTGCGAGAAAACCCTGGGGTCGTTTGGGCCTGAAATATTATGAACATGCACCTACCGGTACCGGGTCAACTTTTCAGTATGCCCCTACCGGATAGCCATTTGGCACCAGCACAACTATTTCCAATATGACCCTGCCTGTACCGTCCAACTTTTCAACATGCCCCTGTGGCCACTTTCTGTGTGTGTGTGTGTGTGTGTGTGTGTGTGTGTGTGTGTGTGTATGTGTGTGTGTGTGTGCGCCCCCCCCTCCCCGCCCCCATGAGGGCTCCGCTTCTCCCACAGGCGCACAACCAGCAATTGCGCACAAAAACTCCAACACAAAATCTCTACCTCTCTCTCAGGACGGAAAAGTGGGCAGGGCGTTTGTGGGAGGGAGGTGGAGGAGTAGGGGGTGATGGCAGGTGGTACAATGGCAGCGATGAGGAGGGTGCAGCAGTGTCCACTCTCTCTCTCTCTCTCAGGGAAGAAAAGTGGGCAGGGTGTTCACCAGGAAGTTGGTAGGCGGAGGAGTAGGTGGGCGGTGGAGGTAGCCGCATAATGGCAGCGACAAGGAGTGCGCTGTGGCAGCCTCTCTCTGTCTCTCTCACATGCACCTGCAAGCTCTTCAACCTACGGAGAGCAATCCGGCTGAACCTCCTCGTTCCCCTATGCACGGCCGGGTAGTGTCCGATCTACTGTCCCTCCCTGTGTAGATCGGACAGAGTCTACCATGGACAGTGAAGGAGCCTCTCTGGAGGACAGTGGCTGTGCCATCTCATTCTGTCGTCCTGCAGCTACAGTGTGGTTAGCATGCATACATCATAGTCTTTGCTCTGAACAGTACGAAGGGATGGTCACTGGCAGTCTCTGCCGCCAAGACTGCGACCCTTTGTCATGTACTCATTCCTCCCACCCCCTAATTACTTGCCCGGTATGCTGTCGTGGCTTTGATATGTCATTCCTAAATAGCTGTGCACGTCGGCCTGCTTTCATGCTGATGTGTCAGCAACATGCCATGTGTCGCCAATGTTTGCAGGAAGCTGTCATAGAACTTATGTGTCTCTGCTGTGTGGACTATCCCTGATGCCATCATGCACCACACCCTCTCTCAGTCCCACACGCCAATGTTGGGCACACTCCTGCTGCAATTGCAGTAGGATCTCCCTCAGCCTTGCCAGACGAAAGACAGATGCAGCAGCCTGAGGAGGAAAATAGACTACCATCTGAACCACCTACAGAGTGCCGTACTGAATGGTTATCACCACCAGGGCGAGATGCTGGAGGAGCTGTTGCAAACCAAGTCCTGCAGCAGGTGAACGTCCTGGCTTTGGATCAATCCCCATCGCCGTCTTCCAATAGAGGAGTAAATACCGGGGAAACCTGCTCAATGCCGCTCTGTGATGACCCACCTGAGATTCGGCTAGCATGTGGTTCACATGCCTTGTGCTGTGAGGATTCTGAAGGGATAAGCCCATGCGAGGTTTTTATTTTCATACGTATGATGACAGTCAATACTGCATTCATGTACGACATCCTAACATGTCGTGTCCTATCTGTAGTCAGGGGCTGGAAAGGCAATGCCTCTACAATTGCGGTTGGCATGCCTCTCTGTTCCTAGCATGTAGGAGTCACGTGGCCTGTGACATCTGTCTACGCCGTGCCATTCGATGCAGCAACAGCGACTGCGAGAATTGGATGCGGTACTTCCACAGTCGACACCCGAACCGGTCCTGTCTGGTCTGTAGGGGTGGCCACTTACCGTAGGCACCGGTCTCCTCAACTCAAAATCTAATGCAACCCAAACACTGACTGGCCTCATGTGCCATTCTAGAGTAGTCTGCTCCAGTGGTCAGTATTTAGAACCCTGTGAGAACTCCACCTCTTATTTCCTTCCGCCTTTCTCTTCTGTACTACCAGTGAATGCATACGGATGAACATCATCAAGACAACAGACAAAATATAAGCTATAGGGCTGAGGAAAAATGAACAGGAATATACCTCTGCCTTTACTCTGCCTCCTTTCATAACGTGCAAGTGGGGCGTTATGGCACACGGGGATGTGGGCAGCTCACGCTCAACCACAATCAATGTGGCGAGCATTGTACATGAGAGGCACAGTAAAAGGGGAGTTGCAAGGACAAATGAAATGGGTACCCAAAAAAGCTGGAGTGAACAGAGTTAAGAAAACACTTCTATTTTGCTCGATGTTGCTTGCTATAAAGGTAACTGTTTCATTCTTGGTTTGTCTCAACTCAAGTGTTTTCATTGTCTGCAGTAGGACTAAAGCTGCTTCAATTTTGGATATGCTCATCTGGGTGGAAAAGGAGGGGCTGTTGTGGTGAAAATTTAAAACATACATACACCAGACAGACTCATGCAGGCATAGACACACACACACACGCACCGGCAGAGGATGAAGACATGAACGAGGAGGAGAGGGAGGAGAAGGACGAGACGGATGTTAACTGACGGGGAAGGAGGAGGAGTGGGGGAGAGTGTAACTGCCTGAACCAGCGGTGGGCATGACAGAAAGATCCCCGCCTAGGACAAGGGCATCGTGCAAAGGGAAAGGTGTGGCATGATGCGAAGTGACCAGCAGGGAGGGTGAGGTGTTGCTCCTGCTTCTGACAGGGCCTGCTGAAAGGATTCCAGGCCCCAGGGGCACAGTAGAAATTCAGCGGTCCCAGGGCGGCGCAAATAAACGGATCTTCGAGGGTCATGACTCATGAGGCAATTTTTTTTTATTTTTTTTTTTTAAGTGTGACCCGATGGGTCACAGATCAGATATTAAAAAATTTTGAAATTTCCGAAAGCTCAATTGTTATTATTTGCTGAAACTGTGTCCAGCGTCCCTTAAACCACCAGTTCACATGAGCCTAAGTTGACGAAGCTACCTTCCAAGCCTCACGAGCCTGCAACTGCGCCTTTTGAAAGTGGCCTGCCGCGTTCGCGGCCAGCCCAGGCCCGAACGGAAAAGCTCTTACTGTGTAAACCGGTAAGAGCCGTATTCTGCTTCGGGTGAACTGGCGGTTGAAATCGTTTACACTTCCACGCTTCCCTCCGTGATGGCTGATGGACCCGGGACACTGGCATTGATTCCTTCCTAGGAAGGAAGGATTTACCCCTGCTCCACCACATTTTTCTTTCTTCTTTTCTTTTACCCCTGCTCCGTCCCTGTTCCTCCTAATCAACTAAGTCAATTCTCTCCTGTTATGCACCTTGATGTGGCGATGCGTCTCTCGTTTGATGTCCCAAATGAATGGGAGCTCGTTTACTACCATCTTCACCGTAATAGAATTGAGTGCTCAGTCATTATCGCGGTATCTAGACTAAAAGCCACCGCAAATAGGAGCGAAATGACATTACCTGGCGTTCTATTCTGGGGCAGACAGGAATTGATAATCTGTGTTCAGGAAAAAATATGCATGACATGCTCCCCTTTGAGACTGTGCTATCCTTCGCTAGCTTCTCCAGCCATGTCTTCTGTGCTTCGAGGGCTGGTCCTCGGTTGGACCGGGGGGCACTCCCCCGACCAGGAGCCTGCCGGTCGGACCGGGCGGTCGACCGGCCCGGCAGACCCTGGGTTGACTCCAGCGCATTATGCTGGGGGGGGGGG